GACATAGCAACTCTTCTAGAGGAGGCTCCGGTTCCGTTTAATAGATTTTGTTCTTCAAATGGCCCACAGGAAAAAGTCGAGCGGAGTTAAATCCGGAAATATGCTCAGCCATTCCGTAGCACCTCTCCGGCTAATCCATTCTCCAGGAAACATCCTGTCCATAACTTTTTTACAACCCGTGTATTACGTGGAGGGCTCTGTCTTGTTGGAACATCAAATAGTCTTTCAGGTAACGATCATCTTTTTCAATAATGTCATACGAGTAATGGATGGACAAAATGTTCCAGTAATTCCAAACACCGGCCCAGATATTCAGTTTTTGAGGAATTTGAGTGAAAGACTCTTTGATTAGTGTCCGATCAATAACGACAGTTATGACGATTTACATTTGAGTTTAAGAAAAACGTACACTCGTCAGAAAAACATATGTTAAAAAGAAAACTCCTATCAGTAGCTATTAGTGCAGTCATAACTTCGCAAAACTCTGATCAAAATCATTCTCATTCAATTCGTGTACTAAATGAATTTTGTTAGGATGAGATTTATAATGTTTTAGGATTCGGCTAATAGTCATTCTGGCGATGTTAGTACCTAGTCAATTTCCTCGTGTTTAAAGTTGGGTTTGCAGAAACTTGTCATAAAACTGCAACCTCAACAGCCTCATTCCTTACCGGAATTTCAAATTCAGAGTTCCGTTTCTTGTTAGCCACTGATCCAGTTTCTCAGAGCTTTTCCACTATCTCCGAAACTTATTTTCTATTCACATGCTTATCCAGATCATTGAATAAATTTGCTATACGGTTGCCGCAGTCATTATTGTATAAAAAAGGGTGAAATTCAACTGTTTTCGCAATTGTGTAAACCATTGTTGAAAATTAAACTTCTAAACAGAATTGCAAATAAGCTGATACTGTGATTTTGGCTTAACTGAAAACAAGATTATTGCTTTTATCAGAAATAATTGATTGAAAACGCTGCAAAAAATGTATAGAACATTTTTGTTTTGAATCAGAAATGCTAGGAAAAAAATATCTAAACTATTTTTAAACTGAATAAATAAAGCGCACTATTGCAACTTGAATTTTGATTATCTTGAAAAGAATCGATAGAATTTAAAAATTTTTGTTATGTGGTATTCATTGGACCTTTCAAATGAGGTATTACTTGCTATGTCATGGCATTTAAAATGTTAGGGGTTGTGCACAGCACAAAAGGATGAAGCTATTTGCAGGTGAATTTTATTGCAAAGGATGTCCCCCTCGAAAATGACGTGTCTGAGTGTTTTTTAAAAAAATCAATTTGAACTACCCTAATACCCATCTGTTTCGTTTTAAATGACCCACCCTGTATAGTTTATGTTTGGTTGTACTGTTTTTTGCGTTCAGTAAATAATAAGAAGCATAACTTTGTTTCCAACATTTCCTCCAATTACGTATTTATCAAATCAGGGAGAAAACTTGGTTTATTTACATACAACTTTCATAAACTTGTTATCAACTTGTATGTTTATTAAACGTGGGCATCTTCTATTTAGGTATTGAACAGGATTTCAACTCGTTATATTTGACATTCTTTTTTTTATCAGATATATATTTTTTTCTTTATTCTCTTTTTATTTCTCATCGTCTTTCGTTTACTCAAAGAGAAAATGTATGAAAAGCGATTCCTTAATTTTCATCATAGTTTAAAGAGACTAGTGTATAATCTCAGTGATTTGTAAAAGAATATAAAAAAATTGTGATTTTTGTCTATTCTTATTCCGTTCTATTTGTTTAAACTAAACCTTCATCACAAACATAACAATCTGGCCCACATTGCAGTTATACAACGTCACTGTCAGAAGCACCACATAGCGGTAATTTGCCGCCATAATCATTTTCAGAAAAATATTACCCTTTTTAGGCTGGCATTGTGTCAGAGCACCATACAATATATCACTGACTTAATGGATCGACAAATAGTTATTGCCATCGTAAAATACGTTTCGTATCGAACTAGTCAAGGTGGTTTTTTTTATATAAAATCAATCAAGCCGTAGTAATCGAAGCTAAACCTCGAAGCAAATGCTCAATACGTCCATCATTGTTTCACATTATTAAACAAATGGCTTATGAATTTATATTTATAATGAAATGCATAAGAAACGGTTTGTATATAGTGTCGGGCAATATTTTTTATATAATGTAGAAATATTGTGACAATTATTTCTTATTTCAAAGAGTTTAATGAATTTACATTTAACTGATTTTTTCTACAAACACCATTAAAAACTAAATTTTTAATACGGCATACTTGAATTAAAAATGTAATATTATATAAACTCGCGTTAAAAATGATCACGCATGATTTACTTTTAACACTAGTGCAAAAAGTAAAATGACAAGTCGTTTGTCATAATGACATTTATATATTTATTAACAAAAAATTACAAGTTACTTAGAAATATTTATATTAATTGTACAATTGGAGCAGTTAGTAATATTTATCCCTTGTCAGGAAACTACTTCACTAGAAGAAATTGTTGAAGTTGAACTTGAAGCAGTGGAGGAAATACTATTAATATGCTCTATTTCTGATTGTTAGAAGAAGGGCAATTATTTGGAAAAATATGACAAGCAATCCTCTTTTTGTTTTCTAACGAATCTTCCAAGTATCCTTCTGCAACACTCGAACTTTTCCATCCTCCATGTCTTTTTATTGTACATAAATTTGCACCAGAGTCTGCTAACAAGCTGGCAGATGTCCGACGGAAACAATGTCCGGTGTAAAGTTCACTATTTGGTAATTTCAAAAATCTTGCAATATATTTATTCCTACAGGTTGAATCGTACATTTGTTACTAGTGTATTTAATAAATAGACGTTGGTGGTTGACATGAGCTGGACGTAATGCTAAGTACTTATAAGTCAATATAAGTCTCAGTAACAACAGTAAAGGTTCTTGAAACTCTAGTCTTGCTATCTGGAATATTTACCACTATGTATTTCCTCAATCCTCAATATTGTTTAAACTCATTTGACAAAGTTCTTCACGGCGACACGCGCCTCGTATACCCATTACAGCAGCTACTTTAAACATCAAATACTTGTCATCTGGCGCCTCTGCAATAAACTTATCAATATTTTGGCGTGTAAAAATTTTTGATTTTTTTGGACGATATCCTTCTCCTTTGCGCTTCAAAAATGCGATGAGTTTATAAAACTTACTTATATCTTGATTGTTCTTGACATTTATCATAGCCTTTATCATTGAAAAATGTGCCCAAAGCGTCGAGGACTTCCAAATTTTAGAATTTTGCTCGAAATAGGCCCACATTACATTTTCACTGTACTTGCCTGCAACATTGTTCCGATCGCACCATTCTACAAAGCGTTTGTATGCTAATTCATATTGTTGTTTGTATTTTGTGGGCAACAAAACTAAAGTTGCCCTTGTAGCTGCTTCTTCAATTTCTTGAGGAATCGATTCGCTTCCTTCTGGACTATAATTAATATTGGAGGTCATCATATTGCACACATTTGACAAGCATGTGTCAATCAACGGGCAAACTTGATTTATTTATTTCATAAATCCTACAAACTACTAGAATTATGAGATAACCATTAAAATGATTTAAAATCTTTTTTAAAGAAACTTTATTGTTCTTTTAATGGTGTTTATAGAAAAAAACATTGTATGATACACGTGTTAAAAATGACTTTATTTTGTTCGTGGAGTTGCTCCACTCGCTTACTCTCGTTTCGCAAACTTCTCCACTCACAAAGTAAAAAGTCATTTTTAACACTTGTATCATAAATAACTATTAGCTACATCTCTACTAAAATAGATTTTAAATAGATTAGAAACTGAAAACTTTTATATTTATTTAAAAAGAAAATATATTTTTTGTATCTGGTATAGCGATTTTTTTTTTAGAAAATTATGGAAAATTGATATTAGTAAGCTACATGCATTTTTTATTTCAAAGATTTGTTATTTTGTTAATTGGGACAAAATGTAAATAATAGGAAAAAATATATCTTACAGAAAATTGGCGCAGTACTTGTGCAAATTGTCGCCAAATTTAAATATTGTACAATTTTCCGCTTTAGATAGGTACTTAATTATCATAGGGACTAGGCTGACTTTTCATAATTCTTCTATGCAATTATCGTTTATGGTTTATGGAAAAAAATTATGAAAAAGTGTCGGTCTATGAAGAAGGCTGTCTACCAACTTGGAAAATCAGGAATTGTCACGAAATTTATTTAAGTCAGACAACCTGTAAATGTTCCTAAAGATAAGCAGTGAAACCTGAAACTTTTACTTAAGAACTTACTACGAAATATGAAACTTTGCTTGAATGAAAATTCTGAACGCTCTCCAAATGAAATTGTCTACAGGGTAAAACTTCACCCATAATACGCGGTGATGTATACACATACATGTGTCCGAAAATTAGTCATAATAGAGCTCCTTCAAAGACCGTCCTGAGTTATTTGTTGACAAGTTCGAAACATCGAGAGATACAGATTTCATACTCTGCCATAATAAAGAACGAAATACTTTTTTTTACTATGAAATTATAATATACAGTGTGTTTCCAGAGAATGGTAATAACCATATAACCAAAAACTAGTGAATCACCCTGTATAATTACCCTACCCGAACATTCTTTGTAAGACAATTCATGTTATGTTAATATAAATTATTGTATTTGCTTGATGATGTACACAAAAACCTAATGAATCTGAAAATGGTTAATAAAATAGACTGAACTAATAAAGAAAGTAAACTAAGCTAAATAAACCCTATTTGAAAACTTTATGCGACTGAATTAAAAATGTATGAATATTAATGCACTTTTGATTATAGTCGTTATAAGACTATCAAATTTGTGAAGTTTATGAATTATTATTAGAAATGGAAATTAAACTAAGGTTTTTTTTTTTAGATAAATAAAATTCATGCATAAACGCCACTGATGATGTAGTTGTAAACAATAACGTAGTTCCATAATTGACTTCATGGTCGAGTGGTAATGGCGTTCCGCCTCTCACCCGAGTGTCCCAGGTTCGATCCCCGGTCGAAGAGTTCAATTTTTTTCTTAAGCAGAAATTAATCCTAGTATACTGATCCGAGTATGCACCCAATATATCCATATAGGGTCTCCGTTGTCTCTAAATGTGTAGCCCCCTCCTGCACAAGGTACTTCGAGATACCTTTATGGACACAGGGGGTTGTATAACCTGTGGTGCTTTTAATTAAAATTTAACTTATAAATATTTCACAAACTCATTAAGAGCGCTCCAGTGTTACCAGGCAAGCCACCATGCACCTTATCAAATTTTTGCCCATAAATCTTGTAAATATAAATTTATGCAAAAACGACAGAACTCCCTACATTTTACAACTTCATTGCCATGTGGACACATTATTTTAAAATCAAAATTACATTTCATAAGAGCGTAATTTTGTATTTGGCTGGAAATGATATTGAAAATTACGTTCTTATAAAATGTAATTTGATTTTAAAATAATCTGTCCACATGGCAATGAAGTTGTAAAATGCAGAAAGTTTTGTCGATTTTCCATGAATTTATGTACAAGATTTATAGACCAGTAAAATTAAGGGTTTTTCAAAACGATAATTTCCAACCATTCCCGACCAATACCATTCGATTCAGTATATTTTTGAATTCTCATGGTCAATTTTGCCGTACGTTATATGAGCAAGAATTTAATTTATAAACAATTAAAGTTGTGAAAATGATGAAAATCGATGTTTCTGAATGTTCAACTTCAAACGCTGCGAAAACGGCAATAGATAGAGAAAAATTGCTCAGAACATTTTTTATAGAGCGTTAAATTTCCTTCAAAGTAGTCCGCGACGGCATATCTCTACGATGAATAGTTAAGGCGTTACAATGAGTTAAATATTTATTATTTTTCTGCTGTATATCAGTCAGCTGTACAAGTAACGCGCATGCGCAATCAACAGACTCGTATGCCGCGTAATGGCCGCCTGCGCAGAACATTTGAAAGTAGACTTGCTGTAAAGCTTTCATAATTTTCTTATTTTTACAACGTTAGCAAATGTATTTATCACTTTTTTGGTCTAGATATAATTATATACTTTTATGCATACTCAAAGACCTGGAAAATTATTATTAAGTTATAAGGTAAATTATTATTAAGTTATGAGCTGTTCAGTTTGATGCTAATAGTCGTCGCAGTTATAACGTAGTTATACAGTGTACTGGTTGTGAGCAATTTTTACATTATCATTGTGGTTGTGCTGTTGATTAATATAAAATAAACCGATCAAAAATGTCGTTAGAAGAAAATTGTTTTATATGTGAAGGAACTCTGCAAATGGGCAAGACTGTAACAGTAAAACAAAAGGGAATCGAATCGTTTATAGAAAACAGCAAGAAACGTGAGGATAAGAAATGGAATCAAATAGAAAATATTAATGAAGTTACTGTTCATGATAAGTGTAGAAAAGCGTATTCCTTAAAAGATAATTTGAAGCCTGGCTCTGGAATTCCAAAAGAGCGATACCCACGTCGTTTAAGTGTGCCGCAATTTAATTTCGAAGAAAATTGTTTCTTATGTGGAAAAAAGTGGATACGCGTTGCGTATACAGCTGACCAGTACGCAGTAGAAAAATAATAAACATTTAACTCATTGTAACGCCTTAACTATTCATCGTAGAGATATGCCGTCGTGGACTTTTTTGAAGGGAATTTAACGCTCTATAAAAAATGTTGTGAGCAATTTTTCTCTATCTGTTGCCGTTTTCGCAGCGTTTGAAGTTGAATATTTTCTAAACATCGATTTTCATCATTTTCACAACATTAATTGTTTATAAATTAAATTCTTGCTCATATAACTTACGGCAAAATTGACCATGAGAATTCAAAAAAAAACTGAATCGAATGGTATTGGTCGGGAATGGTTGGAAATTATCGTGAAAGTGGGCGTGATTTTTGCTTAATTTGATTGGTCTATTATGGGCAAAAGTTGGGTTAGGTGTATAGTGGATTGCCTGGTGACTCCTGTGTGCTCTTAAAAATTATGCGACGATTTAGAATCAAGAAACGATGTGCATTTTTCTTTAAACGTCATGTTAATACATTTTTAATTTATTGGGTAGATGTTTTCTCTTTTGGGACATTTTCACTTAAAATGGAAAGACATCAGTCTCATTCTGCGCCGCTAAAACATGCAAATTACTTCTCGGAACACGAAATAAAATAAAATGTCATTTGCAAATTTCATTTAATATTACCCTAGTCGGATACGAGTGTCGTCATCTGCAAGGGACAAGAGCTGTCCGATATAACGTCCTTTTGCGATGCATCAGTAAAAATCCCGAAATCCCTAAAAGTTGAAAACATGCTTATACTGGCACATTTCGTTCAAATGAAAAGATACACGATATTCTCGGACCTCGGACTTGAGCTGCAAAAAGCCCGGAAACTGACAACTCTCTCGGAATAAAGCGACATAAATGTTGCTTAAGTTGGAAGGTCGCAAATTGGCCTTATTGTGTTTAGGTTGGAACTTTACCGAACGAAACCAAATTGTGCAGTTGTTTATGGCGCCCTGAGGCCTTGTATTCTCTTAAATTGTTGTTGTAATAATTTAGGGAAAATAATATCTCGACATCATTGCTACAGACTAAAAAATATTTACTGTACATTTTTTTAATATGTTGCCTTACAAATCTTTTTATTTAGTCATTTTTTTAACACAAAGTATTAACTATTATAAAATGTATGTATAGGTATTTTGAAAAATGGCCGATCAATAAAAAGTATAACGATATTAAAGATTAACGATTAATCGATTTAGGAGAGTTAGGTGTAGAAAATGGCAACCCATTTTAACTCTGGCTATACTCATCATAATTGATAACGCTCTCTAATTAATCTGGAAGACTAATTTGCCTTCGTTAAGTAAATGGTGGAAACGCTGCAATTTAAAATTTCTCTCGTAGCTAGTTCATGAAAAATTACTCGCATTCCAAGAAACTACCCTATGATAAATGCTCTCCTGCAGAGTAGAAAGGTGAAAAAACACACTCCGAAGCTCTAGGGATGTTTATTAGGATTTATTTGAGTCACATAATGTTTCATTTTTAACTACGAGTTATATTCTGTGAATGTAGCAGTAAGTGTAGATCAAAAACACATTTAATATTACAATGTTTGACAGTTAATTGAGAGACATTCATAAAGGTAAGAAATATTAGTTAACAGCCGATTTATTAGTGTAATCTACGTTGAAATACCAGTCTATTTAAAATATATTTTTTAATTGAATGTTTAGTGTTACTGTTTTTTCTGCTTAGTTTGAACAGCTTTCCATTTTGAGGATTTTTTGTTTCGTTCAGATGCTTTACAATATTATTATAATAATTCATGAAAATAAATTTTCTTGGGTACCGATTTGCCCTAATTTAAAACGCCTACTGTTTTGAAACTCGCTAAACGATTAATACAACAAACGTGACCCACAGCCACATCGATCTGAAATCCCTACGTAAATTAAGTTTCATTTGCCGAGGCTTTGTGCGGTAATTAATTTATTTGAGGTGTGCTTTGGGGAAATCATTAAATTGAAGTGTGAGGTGTGCTGAAATATTCAGCAGTTATGGGAACGATGAGCTGCTTGAAGTCGTTCATGAATTGCATCGAAATTGCATATACTTCCCAGTTAGCAAATTCGAGAGGTTGTAGGCCTAACTAACTTATTGGCATAACTTCAGTTAATCTAATTACTTTTAAATGCGAAGAGATGCTTTACATCTGTCAGCGACAATTATAGTAATATTTTTTCTTGCAAGTGACCAGTATGGCCTATGGGATAATAGCTTTTGAACTCTATGCGATATTTGGAGAACATAAAATAAGTTAAAACGTTATTATATAAAATAAGTCATTAAATAAACTGATGGCGTGTCACGTTTATATACTGTTCCTTAAGGAGTACCTCAAGATTCGGTGTTGAGCCTCTTGCCTTCATAATTTATTTAAATTATACTCCTTTCCGTTTGAATATAAATATATATTGTGTATATTTAAATCACACGTTTTAATATATTTTTTTATTACTACATTTGTACACCATTTTCTTATTTATAAAATAATACGTTAACATGTTAATAAAAAAAATGTATTTTAAATGTTAGTAATTTAAATATTTATTTTTAATGCTATATTTTCCGAGAAATAAGTTATGTCTGTTATTCATTTTCATCTATATTTATATTGTTTTAGATTTTCTCCAATTTATTGCCATTTGTCCTAAGAAAAATAAACAAAAATGTATTCAAACAAAATACATTATTTAACTGTTATCTTGATCAAATAGGCACGGAAATATTTCACTTAACTGAACACATAAAACAGTTTCACCGTGAAATAATAAACTTCGTTGAAAGACGGATGTAAATTAAATTCCTTTATATAACCAATATGTCGACGTGGTTTAACATGTTTCAAATTACAAAGTAGTAAGAAAAGTTATGCTGGTACCCACTAGCTGGGTTAAGTCATGACATGACTTGGTAATGATCAACTAAATGAAGCGATCGTATAATGTGATATAGGTTTTTTTATTATATACGAATATGTATATATATATATATATATATATATATATATATATATATATATATATATGTATGTATGTATGTATGTATGTATGTATGTATGTATGTATGTATGTATGTATGTATGTATGTATGTATGTATGTATGTATGTATGTATGTATGTATGTATGTATGTATGTATGTATGTATGTATGTATGTATGTATGTATGTATGTATGTATGTATGTATGTATGTATGTATGTATGTATGTATGTATGTATGTATGTATGTATGTATGTATGTATGTATGTATGTATGTATGTATGTATGTATGTATGTATGTATGTATGTATGTATGTATGTATGTATGTATGTATGTATGTATGTATGTATGTATGTATGTATGTATGTATGTATGTATGTATGTATGTATGTATGTATGTATGTATGTATGTATGTATGTATGTATGTATGTATGTATGTATGTATGTATGT